CTTGAAAAACCCTATTTTTTTGCCTGTTTGATCTAAATTATCTCTGGAAGTATTTATCCGATCAAGGAATGATATATATCATTCGAATTGTCTAATTTTTGCTGATTTTTGGTGAAAAAATGGTATTAATGTCATATGCACTTTAAATATAACATGAATACATAATAATACAATTCTGTAGCTTTTATACAACTCCAGAATATGTAATACTGGATGTTTAACTCGATGTTTTATGTACAGCCGTCAATATTGCTGTAACTGAATACAAAATTTTACATTTTCTTGCTGTAATACAATTTAATAGAGGATATTACTGATCACCCATTTTCTCGGTGTTGGGCAAGTTTTTTGCTTGGGAACTTTTTGTGGTAATTGAGCATCTATAGTACTATTTTTCAAGCTTGCCCGGTGTGGATATACACTCAGAGTAACATCACAAGCATCATGCTTAGTTTTGTGTATACCTATCCTTAGACGAAGGCTACAACTGCTGCATACTTCATGTTATATATATATATATATTTATATTTATTTCAACAATTATTGAGTCAAGTACATGATTTTATACCGAAAACCCTCAGAGGCAAGAAGGGGGCTGAATAGAGAGGGGGCTTATTGATTTTAACGCAGCAAGAAACGCAGTAAACTAACATGAAATTCTTGCCCAATTCATAAATCTGGGCGGGCTTAATACAAGAAGGTCAGGGGCATATTACAGAGGCATGCTAATTGTTTATTCGAGAGGGGGATTAATGCAGAATGTACTGCAGATAATTACTGAGGGACCGGTCATAAAGTAAAAGGGGGGGATCATATCTTTGGTATCTGCAATTTTGGCAGGGGCGGCGCTAACCCTCGTCAAGTGGGGGGAGGGGGGTGTGAGTGATCTTTTGCCGACTGTTGTTTGGTAATTTTGCCAAGTCATTAGCCTATAGTAAATGTGCATGTTTAAATGCGCTTTATTACCCTCTATTAAGCCGGTTTTCCACTAGCGAATTTTTCCGCGCGAAGCGACCTTTTTCCTTTGTCAGCATCTATTTTGCAGCCCTCGAAAAGTCAAAACAGTCAAAATTGAGGTCGGCAAAAAAGGGCCGACCTAAATCTGACCTAGGTCGGCACATCTCGGCATTTTTTAAGATCTGTTTCACGTCTTGGAGCACTAGTGATTAATCACGCATTTACGAATCATTGAAATCGGAATATAACTGGAACGTTACCTCCAGCCGGAAAATTAGACAAATTTTAACTCCAGACGCGCGTAATTTGATCTTCAGACACCTAACGTATATACAATACCCGCCAATTTTTAAACCTTACACCGTAATGTGTTCAGTTAATCGAACTACGAATCGAATTCTATAATCGCTGACTTTTTAACAGCTATCAGCACCAAAAAAAATTCTTACTTTGGTTGAACTAAGGTCAGCAAAAATTTGCCGACCTTGGAGGTTGATAGGTCGGCATTTAGGTCGGCATTGCCGAATGCCGACCTCGTTTTCGAGGACTGATTTTGCCACGTCTTGCTGACGTAATAACTGATACCGACAAAGGAAAAAAGTCGCTTCGTGTGAGAAAATTCGCTAGTGGAAAACCGACTTTATTGCCTCTTTTATAGAACAGTATAATAAGGAACAACAACAACAACAACAACAACAACAACAACAACCAAACAAATTTAATTACCTAATTATGATTTCAATAATATTATGTTTTTGGACTGGAAGAAGTGAAGATACTGTATTCGAAATAATTTGCATTGCTGCATGTGTGGTTTCTTTGATGCATGCTATTCGTGATATTCGGTTTGAATTCAATTATTCAGGAAGTCAAATTTGGTTTCTTCAGTGGTTATCTTTAGCCAATCCAGTTTTGCCGACTGAGATAACAATTTGCCGATTTGCTGACGAGTGAGGGGTGTTCCACCCCCCCCCCACACACACACACCCTGTAGCGCCGCCCCTGAATTTTGGTAGCCCACCCCCTGAATTTTGGTAGCCCACCCCTTAATAGCTGCTCGAAAATTTGTAGCCCACCCTTAAATTGGTGCTGAAAAATTATGACCCACCCTTTCTGAAAAATTATGACCCACCCTTGCGAAAGATACCAGCGTTCCATTTTTCTGTTGCCAAATAATTCTGTGTTACAATACTCAATAGCCATTCCAGTGGTGCTATTAAATACAGAAAGGTCTTTATTTGTATGGAACTTCGCATGCATACTGTAGTATCTTTCAGCTCATAATTAGAAAACTTTAGTTTGACATTTACAGCTAACGTCAAACCGCTAACGATGATTGCGGTTTAACTACGCTCTCGTAGAAATTACACTAATTTTGTTACATAATAAACATCCTGCACAAAGCTGGTGACGTTTAACAATAATATCAGAAAATCATTTGCAGCATTCTGAGAACACATTTTGTGAAAAACTAGGTCTTCAAAACACTTTTTTAATGGTGCGTTTTGTTATAAATCACATGCTAAGTATAGAAAACCAACATTTTAGAGAAAATATTTACATGATTATTCACATTTGTGAATGGAATTGCAAGGCGCTTTAATTTAATTAACACGCCAATGACAATGTAAAATTTATTTGCTAAGTGATGATGTCAATTGATTTTGAGCATAATAGTTTAATACGCATTCAAATATTATTGTGCAGCAGAAAATTTCGCCGCTAAACAATGGTACTATATAAGCTTCTGAAACAACAAAAAATCGACAAGGACATTTAAAGAAGTGCCTGTATAAAATGCGTATGTTGTGACATGTACAGTACAGAAACATATATCATTATATTATGACGACAATTACGTTAATATATGACGACAATTACGTTAATATATGAGTGTGATTTGTGTTAATTTTACAGTCTTTCAAAATTATTGGGGGGGGGGGCTCGGACCCCCTAGTGTCCGCCACTGATTAGCCAAGACAGTAAATTCAGCTTTTAAGTTTGAGGTTAACGTTTGCGGTATAAATTCTACACATGGATCCTGATACAATATGAATTTTAATACAAAAATAGTGACCCCCCCTATTTTTCCCAGCCCAGCCCACCCCCCTTTTACTTTATGACTGGTCCCTGAGAGAGGTCTGATCACCGTCTGGTACGGGTACAAGGCAAATTACAATACAAATTACAATACAAAATGTCATCTTTTCAGTGCCAAGTGTAAGAAAACGATAGGCATCGAACAAGTTTTCGACGCCAGTGTGTGCTTACAGTTGGTTGAACAAGTCCCAAAGTTCACTGTTTTTTGGTCAATCCAAACCATGTTTTTCTTGTTTCCCTTAACCTTCGACTTTGACTTGCTCGACTTTGTTTTCAGCGCCATTTTCATTACCACGTAATTCTAGTTCCAGTCTATTTCCGTTTAATCAACATGCCTGCACGTCTTACGATGTGTTTCTCGTCTAGACAGGAAATCAGTCTACAACCACATTTATACTAGACGAGTTTCCTGTCTGAAGCCAGTTTGGCAGTTTCCCTCACTGATTATATAACCCCATCACTAATAGGTGGGATTCATTAAAGAGGAGATAAATTTTTTATATAAATTAGTTTTAGACCTAACTGCTGTATTCTTGGGTTTCATATGACGTCACGTGGGGGTCAAGAGTCTGTGTCAAGGGTTTTTTACAGTCTTTGTCAGATAAATGACAGGTTATACCCACAGAGCTGAGCACTCCTTTACGGGAGTATAATAGTCGGAGTCTTTTACATTGATATTTAATAAGATACGTTGACAGCCATTTTGTTTGTTTGTTGTTTTACTTGACCACAGGTCAATAACTCACCTCCACTTGAGTCAAATTATGCTAAAACATTACGTGTTGAAACTTAAGCGTGGTTCACACTGGTTGTAATTCATCGGCGATCTATTGTATTGTTTTCCGACAGACAAAGCATTTTACACAGCAATGATCACAGACAATAGAAATCCCAGATTCTTACGACCAGTGTGAACCAGGCATTAAGAATAGACCCTCGGCCAGAAATCGAACCTGCGGGCCTGCGATTCTGGTGCAGCGGTGGTTGTCCACTACCTGATAACTGTTTCATTTAATTTTCTTGCTCGTATGAAGTATCAGAACCACTGAAGTTACCACCACGTGGTGCCCCGTAACACATGCGGGAAATTACCAATCTTGGCTATTCAACATTGTTGAACAAGTTAATTCCATCACAGTTAATAGACGTCTATTAACTGTGATTCCTTTCCCCATTACATTTGGAAACATCTGTATGTACTTAAGTACTTCTGCTCATAATACATCAATATATCGTACTAGCTCTACATTTCTTCCCTCAGATTCGAAGAAGAGATTAAAAGATGTACTCAAACAGTTTCGTGATGGGGAGTTCTCGCAGTATAAACCAGAAGAGGTGAATTTTATAACAACATTTCTGCTTTTTAGAACTTATATAGCTATAACTACATAAAACTGTTTCTCAAATAAAAAACCCCACAAAACTAACATAAAAATGTTTTTCAGATTTTGATTGGTTGTGGTAACGTCTGGGCAGATTGCTCAAAAATGACCGCACGCCTAAAATGAAACTTGAGTTTAGGACGATTTAAATTAATCTTCAACACGATTTAAGGAATTTGCATGGTTCAGTTCACTTTCAAATCTTTGATGATGCATGTAAATGATATATAACAGGAGCGAAAACTTTGTGAGTAGACATTTCCCCGAAACTTGTGCAGTAGATGTCTGGAACATTTATGTGTACTGTACAGTATATAAATAAGTAGTAGCGTCGTTTCTCGTGGAATTGGATAAAACATGCACTCTTGAGTTTTTCAAAGACCTCTTTAAAATTTAAACTCACTCATGCATGCATGTTCAATTTGCACTCGAAATCATGCTATTACTTATACTAATAGTAATATACCCTCCCTAACGTTATACGCTGTTAAGCTTCCCCAAGACGAAAAACACCAAAACACCGTATTCGCTACCAGGCCGTACACAAACTATACGTAGAGAAAACTATATTTACGATTTTTAGAATGTCATTAATTATTCTTTGGATATTTGGTACTTTTTTCGGCATATAGGCCTTACTGCCCCCCTGGTGAAAAAATCCTGCGTACGGCCCTGTTCGTTACAAAGGTTCTAATAGGGTGTTTTCAAAACGAACAGTCTGTGCCAGTGTAGGCAGGCCTCGAATTTCCCTGAAATCAATCGACGGTAATGGCGTTAAAAATTGCCGTAGAACTACGTAACAGCTGTCTACGGCAATTTTGACAGTTTCCACAGCATTTTTTCAAATTAATAAAAATTTAAGTTTATTGTTACTTTGGATTGTTGACATGTTTACGTATTTCTTTAAGTGTTTTTTAAGACTAAAATAGCAATTTACGCATGATTTGATCAACCGATCTGAATTCAAGTATCAAAATAATAATGCACAGTGAATAGTATAAAAATTACACTATACGGCAATTGCTCCACGGCATTTTGTTCTCCCTCTACGGCAATTGCCGCGATAAAATTCAAGCCCTGAGTGTAGGTAGTGACAACAACGGCAGAAAGCTGCGGATTGGATTCAACCACCTGAAAATACAAGTAAAATGTTTCGAGCGAAGGCTATTCGTCGAGAAGGGCCTTCCCTACGAAGTGCATAATCTATATTCTTAATATATTTCAAAGGGCTTTGTTCCAAAAAATAATGCCTCAAATGATGCCATTAACTATGACGTCTATAGTGGATATTTTGACATATTAAAAACATGACGGAAGATTTGTTCACCCGTACGTCTAGGTGAAAAGCTAAAACGTAAAGTAGAATTGATTGTCCTCACTCTACTGCATGTATATTGTTTTGAGAGATTAGTCTTGTAAAACAGGATATCAAATTTTCTTTAACTTGTCTTTTAGCCAATGAAGTATGATGGTTTCAAACTATTTATGAATGCATATCTTGGCAATGATATCAGTGATGATTTATGTCAACATTTATTCTCGACATTTTGTAAGCAAGTGCCAATAAACAATGCAACAATAACAAGTTTACAGCAAGCAGAGGCCATGATTGCTGATAAGCCAGGTATAATATTAGACACAGTGTATATACTATACAGAGGTCCCACTGTACATGAGACACGCATTATATAAATACTATACAGTCCGACTCAGCCAAAACTCGTAACCAGCGCCAAGTAGCCATTAGCAGTCGCTATGCAGTCGCCATGTGCCTACATATCTAGTGGGCGTACGAGAAGCACTTGCCCCCCCTCCCCCCCTTGGGGAACGACCAAGCCAAGCCGAACATTTTGAATGTTTTCAGGAGGATGACGGCCTCTCCTTGTAGTGCACTGGCAAGGAACGTGGCGGCCGGTTTCGGTGACATCAAAGGCGCTGACACGGAGTCGGACTTCTGTAAGGGCCTGTTTATATGGGAGCCGGGCTGGCCCGCTAGGCGAGACAACCCGGTAAGCGAGATCTCGCTGTGTGGTTATTTTTATAGTAAAATTATCGTGCGTTTGTATGGCCCGGTTGTCAAGATCTCGCTTGAAAGAGGCGAGATCTCGCTTACCGGAATGGAAATATCTCCATATAAACACTCACAAGCGGGCTAGCCCAGTTGCCGAGATGAAAGTTCAAAGATACCGCCGCAAGCTATTTTCAAAACAACTGATCAAAATAACAAAATTGTCCCGGCAAGTGGGATGAAATTTTTTCATATAAACACAAGAGAAATTCATCCCGCTTACCGGGCTGTCTCGCGGGCCAGCCCAGCTTCCATATAAACAGGCCCTAAGACTCTATTCTAGAGATTAATTAAGCGAGCGACATTTTTGACAACACGGACGTCAAGCGACATAATTTAACCGCGTTAATTATGACGTCAGTAGTTCTTGTTTGAAATCAACAAAGGCAGTCAATGTTGAATTAACTAGCCAATGAGAACCCATAGTTTCTTTACGTGACTTTGGTTAAAATGGCGACAATTGAAGGAAATGCAAACGATCGTATCAACGACGTTGCTGTTGCGTATTTTTCCCAACGTGTGCGGTGAAAATACATAGCTTGATAAAACAGAGTGTGTTTGCCTAATTCACCCGAGTCAGAGGTTCATGATGCACGTGCTTGACAACTAAGGCGTATAAGTGTTAGTTTTTGGTGTGGAGAGGAAAACCTGAGAAAACACTCGAAGCATAGAGTAGGGCGTAAAAAAAAACCTGTGGTTCCGGTTCCCGACCGACCCTATTTTTTTTCTGCCGACCCTATTATTTTTTCGACGTGATTGACTGTGCGACCTTATTTTCTCCGGGTGGTTGCGGGCTGCTCATGCAGCGTGCCAAAATGGCGACTGTTGTGACAATAATCGTTGAACCGTGTAATCACATTAACTCTCAAAAAAGGCTTTTTGCATCGGTGCCTCACAACACAACGTTCGCCGAGCTACTGGAAGACTACCATGGGTTTCCCACGATTGATTGTCAAATCGAAACAGCACAGGAAGAAAATTTGTGCTGGACATTATTGCCAATTGAAAATGCGAATTTGACACTACAATCACTTGTCGCCTTCAAAATAAAATATTTGAAAATATCTTGTGCGATTAAACAGCAAGAATCTACAAATAACGTAGTAACGACACCCACGAGAAACGAACGAACTATCCAAGACGAAGTAACCAACTTTGCGTAAACGCGTATGTAACGCGAGTACATAACGCGTCTTGTGTCCATTTCCATAATTAAGACACGTGAACGGAACAACAACAAACTGCCTAAATTCGTCCTTAGGAAATATATATCTCTAGTGAGTTAATCATGTCGGGACTCTACTGAAAATCGCCAAGAAAAAAACAGCCAAAACCATAAAAAAAAATATCTAAAAAAAAAAATTTCCGACCTACCGACCCTAATTTTTTCACGATATGAAACCGGAACTACAGGGTTTTTTTTTACGCCTAGGAGAGGACCAACCAAACACGCGTTTCCAACATGGGAAGCCAGGGAAGGTAAATCCTAGAGGTGTGCATCGGATCGGACGTTTATAATCCGACAATTGGCTAATGTTTAAAATCCGATCCGAAATTGTCTAATCCGAATCCGATCCGAATTTTGATAAAGAATTCCGATCCGATCCGAAGAATCCGTTAATAAAATAATTTTCTCATTCAAGTTGAAACATTTAAACAAATAAATATGAAACAAGAAATACATGTCAAGAAGTTGACAAAGTGACGTCCAATTGAAGTATCAAACGAATAATGCAGCGACAACCACGATAATGCTTTGATAAATGCATGCATGGATAATTAATTCTTGCGATAATGCGTGGATAATTAATTCATTTTATTTCGAATATCGAAGTCCGATCCGACTACGAAACAACTTTATCAATCCGATCCGAAATGTATATTTTTGTTCCGAAATCCGAACGAATCCGATCGGATTCGGATCGGATTTGCACACCTCTAGTAAATCCCCCACTCTCGAACTGCATGTAGCAGACTCTGCGGTGATGGACAGTGCACTAACCGCATCTTCCACCCGCGAAGTATAGTGTCCATATGAACTAATGTTTAGTAAAATTCAATTTAGCTGAAAGTGGTATACATACTGGTATTACATCTGCTGCGATAGTGGCTACAATTCCTATCACTTCACGAGATACAGCCGTTATTACGCATTCATCGTCACATACTCATTTAACTGGCTCGCCATGCAATGAAGCTGATCGCCTACCTCGCTCATCATCTGATGGTATAAATTGTGCATCTCGTATTATACCTGCTCGAAGATCTATTATATCGCTAAACGGTAAACTAAATCAACGTAGGTCAATATTTAAATATTAAATGTTTGAATACCATAAATTTATGACATATAGTATAAACCGTATTTATAGTATCCATGTAACCAAAACTTAGACCTGGTAAAATAAAATTGTTAATTAACCCCAAAGTAAAAGTTGTCACCTTTTAAACTTTCAATTTAGCCTTGTATATATATCCTCTCAAACTTCTAACATTCATCTCTGTGATCCACACAACCTCTAACATATATTTAGCGAAAACAATTAATGTATGAAAAAATATTAAAAACCGTCTATTTGTTAAACAAACTGTTAAAAATTAAAACGCTTAGTCCAATATTTATTTCCTTGTTAAAATGTTTTTTATATGTTGACGTATATAAACGATTTTGTCTATAACGAGAAACGTGTAACTTCTTCTGTAAATGATCTTTTTACGGTGGCTTGTACTGGTACTGTAACCGTTTAAAGCTTTTAGACGTCGCGCCTTGTATTCCCACTTCATTCGTACGTATATCTTTCAATGTTATTAACATACAGTACATGTCCAACTGCAATTTAAACTTGGTACTCAATACATACTAAGTACGAATTCATCACGCAATCTACAAATTTATCCCACACAACTGAAGATATCATGGCTCATTACCTCTGGGCAATCAACCACTCGACTCACACTCACGTTATGTTTACCTACAGTCTTTACATAAGCCATGTATGCATTACAGATGACCGAATGTAAACCATTATTCGTTTATAAACACTTCTGATAGGCTTATTTACGGAGAGCCTCCTGTTCTGGGAGGGGGGGGAGGGGGGCTGCATATAGTGAAAATTTTGTGCTTCGTATTACATAATTTTTCAAACCATATGGATGATGGTTTCGGAAAAAGGAAATTTTTTCCACCACATTTTACATACATTCTGCTAAAAAATAACTAAACAAGCATCAATGACATGGTATCTTTGTCTTCCTGTAAACCCATCCGTCTTTATCAATACCTGCCTCTGTATTTTAGGTCCGGCAAAAGGTTCATCAGCTGAAAACACGCCATCAAGCTCACGAAACAATTCCACAAAGAAGAAGCAATCTGTTACAGACAATCTTACGATATTTAGCACGAAAAATGCCTTAGAAACTGTTGCCATGGTATCAATACGGGAAATTGCGTGTTATTTGTCGTTACTTGAAGGAGGAGAAGTCGAGGATAAACTTGAATGTAAGTAATCACCATCCACTATACCCGAGGCTTTTTACGTCAAGCAGATTTTTAACTTACTGTAATATGTACAGGTATGTATGCATTCGTCTCGTGCACTCTCCGAATATATACATTGCCCAGATGTTTGTGGGTGAGCTCGATTGCAAACATCGAGCAAATCCGTTGGGGCTTCGGTGGCGTAGTCATCACAGCAAGCGCCTTTCACCTCGAGTTCATGGGTTGATTCTCGCTACGGACTCATGAGAAAAGAGTCAGTCAACGCTCTGCCGAAAGTCGTGGGTTTTCTCCGGTTTCCTCCCACAGGGATTTCCTCCCACAGGGAAAGTTGAGAGGGTGGGTTACAGTAGGATAAACACAGTTAAGAAAATAATATAATATTGAAAATTTTCTGCAAGTAATCAAGTAAATCGACACTCGGACAATGTAACTGTGTGACACTAACAAGTTGTCAAACTGGATGTCATGCTATATTTTACAGAAAAAAAATATTTCAGTCCACTGAGAATCTTAAAATATAACATAAAACTAATATAGATAACATGCATCAAGGGTCTGATCCTATGGTAAACACAGATGCAAAAAAGGGTACTATTTTGAAATCAGGTGTTCCAGATTGGCTAAAAATGCATTTGCCATACAACATTTGTTACATCATTCTATAGTCTACACGGCTAAAAACGCATAGGTTGTTCCAAGTTGATATCGACAGGCGTGAACAATGTTGTGCGGCCAACTATGAACAAGTTGTCAACCATGTTGTTCGAAGTTGTTACAGTTGAACAATGCTGTAACAACATGTTGACAATACTGTTCATAGTGGGCCGCACAACCTTGTTCACGCCTGTTGATATCAACCTGGAACAAGTTGTTGATTTTCTCAATTTTTACGCGTATAGGCTAAGTACAGTACAGTAATTAGGTATAAGTGTAATACTTGATGTAAAGCACATTTGCATGATCCACATGTAAATTTGCGCTGTAGAAATATTAATCGTAATCATCGTAATCTACCATGCTGTTCAGTATTTACTGTATGGCAAAGATAATAAAGCATGCGGGACAATCATTAGGAAAGGGTTGCCTTCCGGAGTTAATCTAGGGAAGTTGACAGGATGGGTTAGGATAAACTCATATAGTAACATAATAATGCGAAAAGTAATATCACAATTCTTGTAAAGATAAATTGTATAGGCTATTAAAGTAGGTAATATAAGTAATACTTGATGTAATCGGTCAATGAAAAGACCCGAAGGGAAGTGAGCTGAATGTGTGTGTGTAATGTACCAAGTTATCATGTTATGACTTGTAAGATAAATTTTTGGTTCATCTTTAAGCGGCACGTAGTTTACTACCCCTTATTTTTATTTTGTATATTTTCTGATTAGTTGTTTTCCGAGTGTACGACGCGGATGGTAACGAGTATCTTGATCAACAGGTATTCGAAATTTTATATATATAGCTTGTAATGTTTGTTTGTGCTACACGAGGTCGTTGTGTACACCACTGAATATTATCGTAAAATACACAACAACAGTGACTGCGAATAAAGAAAATAATTCTATTTATTTTTTCTGGTCCATAACCCCAAATCCGTAACGTAAATGGAGCCTTCCGATTGCCTGATTGAAGGTCGGTATCACACGATGCGGACCTCCCGCGTTTCGCGCCAAAACAAACCAAGGTTTCAAACTCAAAAAACTACCCAAAATGTCGAGAAAGCTTCCCTATCGATACTAAAGATAGAAAAATAAGCCTTCAATGGATTTAGTGTCAAGCCCGAAATGCACTGTTTTCCGACCCAAGCGCAAAAAACAATTATTTCTTTGACAAGTATTCCGTTGTTGCGTATACAGGTACTTCTTGGCCGGCTGCAACAAGACCAGGTTCCACGTCTTTCACCAATGCATGTATGTACAGGACATCTATTATCTACAACGATTTCTTTTAGGAGTTGGAGTCTATCACACAACAAATGATGAGCGTTGCCAGATATTTAGGATGGGACGTCACCGAATTGAAACCAGTAAGTCCTAATTGTTTTGTGCCTGTAGTGTACTATACTGTATTGTACGGTATTGTAATGCACTTTACTGTTCTTTTACTGTACTGTACTGTTCTTTTACTGTACTGTACTGTTCTTTTACTGTACTGTTCTTTTACTGTTCTTTTACTTTACTGTACTGTATACTGTACACTGTACACTGTACACTGTACACTGTATACTGTACACTGTATACTGTATACTGTATACTGTATACTGTACTGTATACTGTACTGTACTGTACTGTACTGTACCGTACCGTACCGTACCGTACCGTACCGTATTGTACTGTATAGTACCGGCCACCTCTAGCAATATTCCTGCTTGAGTAGTCATTTACCTAGCCTGCTCAGCAGACCCCACCCGAAAATTTGAAGCCAAATTTCAGGTTTTTCTTTCCCCGAACAAAATTTCCGGCTGCGAGCCTTACCTTATCGTAATCAGTCATTTACACTGTCTTACAGATTTTACAAGATATGTTGTTAGAACTGGATTGCGATTCAGATGATCGGATATCACTGGAGGAATGGATCAAAGGCGGTTTAACAACCATTCCATTACTCGTGTTGTTGGGTCTTGATCCAGTAAGAGACTAGAGTGCAGTTAATTGTGTATATACGTACAGTACATGCGGGTCAAAATATAACTTTGGAGCTCTCGTAGTTTCATAAGAAGGATCTGACCAGTGTGCTCATCCAAAAAAAGGTTTATTGTTGAACTGCTCGGAACACATTTTTGACGTGGATTTTTATTCATCTATAGACTGATTCGTCTTTATCTGGATATTAAGTACATTCAAATATAATATTTTATTATATACACAAGGTCTGGATATGAGGTTTTCTGCAATCTGATTGGTTCTCTACTAGCAGGATATTAGCTCATATCCTGCTAGTAGAGAAAAA